CTAATGTAACAGAAAAGATGTTTGACAATGATATATCCATGTAAACATAAGATTTTGTATACTCCGCATTCTCAAAGTATATTGTTTTTATAACCGTTAAATAATATACTGCTCCTATAACACTTGTTATTATTGCAACTAAAACCAATAAGATTTTTCCATTGTCTAATGCACTAGTTAAAGCCATTAATTTACCGAAAAAACCCACTAATGGAGGTAAACCTATAAAAGAAAACATAGTTATAACTAAACACAAAGATAATGTAGGGTTAATTGTAAAATAACCTTTAAGTTGATTTATTAATTGTATAGGACTATTGTTTTTTTCTGGTAAATTGTTAAATTCTGCGTTACTTGTATAATATAAATACAAATTAAAACCCATAGCTATTAATATCATAAAAGCATTTAAATTTGTTAAAATATATTGTATAATATAGAATATAAAAGCTTGATAAGAATCTAAAGTATGTACAATTAAAGCTAATAAAATAAAACCTATGTGGCTTATAGTACTATAAGCCAATAATCTTTTTATTCTTACTTGACTTAAACCTAATATTGTACCTATCACTAATGAAAAAAAACAACTAAGTGATAAACTAGTTGTTCAAGAATAAAATTGTGTAGTAGAATATAATAAACTACTAGTATAATGCACTAACTGTAAAAATAAAATTAATATAGCTATTTTTCCCATTATTGCTATAAAAGTTGTAACTATAGTTGGTACACCATCGTAAACATCGGGTGATCATCAATGAAAAGGCGCGGCCGCTATTTTGAATAATAATCCTACAGATATTAATAATAAACTATAAAAAAAATAAGTGTGACTATATCAAGCGGAATAATAGGCATATTTTTCTGAATCCGATATTACAGAATATATTCCATCTAAATTGGTTAAACCGGAGTTAGCATAAATTAAACCAATACCTAATAAAATAAAACAAGAAGAAAGTCCCCCTAATAAAAAATAAGTTAAAGCAGAACCGGTAGAGGATTCAGAATTTCTATGTAAAGAAGATATTATGTATAAACTAAAACTTTGCAATTCTATACATAAATATATAGAACCTAAATCTCCACTAGATATCAGTAATGTTGCTCCACTTATAGTAAATATAATAATTAAAGCATACTCTATTATAGTAAATTGTTCTGACATTTTATTTATTATACTTACATATTCTGTGGCACTTTTAGATAAATTATTTAATACATTATCGCCTTCTTCTATATATCTTTTTCTAGGATAAAAGGCAGACATTAATAATATTAAGCTACTTATTATAAATATGAATATTTGAAAACTATGTGTAACCGCGGTTATATTAAATAATCCTCCATATAACCCTACTCCTTTTTCTAAATAAGTTATATGAAAACTCGTATATGCAGATATAAAACTGTATAGTATAATTGTAATACCTACACGGCTATATATTATTGAACTATCCGGTCTATTAGTTAATCCATTGGTATAAAGTAGATAAGACAAAAAGGTTAATAGCATTTTTTTTGTTTTTACTTATTTTCAGGCGCGGTTTATGTGTTATTTAAATAAATTTTCGTTTTTGTTTTTGTTTACATTTAATTATTAAGGCTAAAACAATTAAGCCTTTATAGGTTTAGTGCTACAAAACGAGCACTATTAGTTGAAATACAGATCTTTTACTCGTTACATAGGCTAGAAAAGGCAAGTTAACTGGTATTGCTTTGCTAATTAGCAAAGCAATAAACTGGTATACGGAGCAATTTTATATAATTTTAAAAAATTATCTTATTTGCTTTATTTGCTTTATACTATATAAGGTATAACTAAATCAGTTCCAACTCACATACAAGCCGTACGGGTAACCAGCCTTAGATGTGAGATCCGTTTCTCAGGAGCCTTTGTTGTTACAAAGGCTGTTTTATTCACCGCTATACACACGACACTAGAATGCTATACACGGTTAATATAAACTCTACTACATGGTTTACAGGTAATAAATATAAGCATGTAGCACAATATATGATACTAAATATTAATATAAGTAAACAAAGGATAATTAACATTTTTTTTTGTTAATTTTTTTTTTTTTCAGGCGCGAGCTATTTCAATAAATTTTCGTTTTTGTTTTTTTTCTCTTTACATTTAACTAATTAATTTTATATATAGGTTAAATAAGCAATAGTTGAATTTTTGTGCTAACTCTACAATTATATTTTTACTTTGTAATAGTACTTACTTGAGGTTTTTCTAACAAAGCTAAATCTATTAAACTGTTTTCTAGTAGGGTAATAAAAGGTACAATTATTAAGAAATGAGCAAAATATAAAGCAGTTGAAATTTGTCCAAACTCAATGAAAGGAGATTCAACATGTTTTGCACCTAATTGCATTAAAATCAAGAAATTTGCTACAAATATAAAAAAAGCTATTTTACTTAAAGGTCTAAATTGTATACCTCTTAAGTTAGATAGATCAGTAAAAGGCATAGCCAATAAAGCTAAAATAGCAGAAAACATAGCTATAACACCTAATAATTTATTAGGTATAGATCTTAAAATAGCATAGAATGGTAATAAATATCATTCTGGTACTATAGCCGGTGGTGTTTGCATAGGATTAGCCATTACGTAATTTTCACTATCCCCTAACATATTAGGCATGAAAAATACAAATACAGATAAAGCTATGAAAAATATAAATATAGTTATCAAATCTTTAAATATAAAGTAAGGTGCAAATGGTAATCTATCATAATTACCGGATACACCTAAAGGATTACCTGATCCACTTGAATCATGTAAAGCGATTAGATGCATTAAGGCTAATGCGGCTAAAACAAACGGTAAAACAAAATGTAAGGCAAAAAATCTATTTAAGGTTGCATTATTAACACTAAACCCTCCTCAAATAAATTCTACTATATCTTGTCCTACTCAAGGTATAGCACTCATCAAATTAGTTATAACGGTTGCTCCTCATAAAGACATTTGACCGTAAGGTAAAACATAACCCAAAAAAGCCGTAGCCATCATCAGAATTAATAGTACGGTTCCTATTGTTCAAGTTAATGTTCTTGGTGCTTTATATGATCCATAATATAATCCTCTTCCTATGTGTAAATACACTAAAAAGAAAAACGCAGATGCAGTATTTGAATGTAAATAACGTATTAATCATCCATTATTTACATCTCTCATTATATGTTCTACTGAATCAAATGCTTCAAGTACATTAGGAGTATAATGCATACCTAAAGTTACACCTGTAATTATTTGTATTATTAAACATAATGCTAGTAATGAACCGAAGTTTCATAGATAACTTATATTAGATGGTTGTGGTGAATCTATTACATAGGAATTTACTAATTTTAGTAAAGGATGACTTTTTAAAATTCTCATTTTTTATTATTATTATATATTAATTTATTTTTTTTTTTATAAAACTATGGGTCTAATAACCATATACCGTCGTCCTGTCTTTTTTTATGATACAATAAGGTTTCACAAAACTAGCACATGTCGATTCCACTTTGCATTTTTGATTTCAAATTATATGCAGATCACGACATCATTCACATGTCAAACTTTTATGATCCAATAAAGTAACACAAAACTAGCGCGTGTCGATACCACGTGCTCAATTTATTGGCTATAAATTTTTTTGCACTGGACCCTTTTGTCACGCAAGCGTAACCCTTTCTGGAACATTCCATGGTAAACCTATTTGTAATATAAATTATCTATAAAAAGAGGTTTATCCTTCTACAAAATTTTTTAAACTTCAATCATACAATCAAACAAACAAACCTTATCAATCATACAATCAAACAAACAAACCATATCTACCTTGCAATCAAACAAACCATATCAACCTATCACAAAAATGACCTCTAATCAAGAAAAAATGGAAAAGGCAAATTCTCCAAAATACATGGAAATGCCAAATGTTAAACATACGATTGATAAGATGCAAACACAAGTCACCGTTCTCAGAAAAGAAAAGAAAATTAATCCAAATACTGGACAACCTGAAGAGATTGAGGTTCAGAAAAAGGCTTTTCTTGAATGGCAAGTTGGTGCATTTGCTTGTACAATTGCAAAACAAGTGTTCCAAGACACTTGTTGGATTATTACACCAGAAAAATCGGATCCTTTTACAAATAAAAGACCAGACCTCACGATCGATAAAATAAACCAAGACGGAACCTGCAAACTACATGCGATCTACGAAGTGAAAAGAGTTCAAGGGGATTACATGGGAAGCGCCGTGAAACAAAGCCTGATATCCTTCACTGAAACCATGGACAATCAAGGTACTAAGTCCGGTATCTATGAATGCTACATTATTGCACAACGAGGTCTGGATATTGCATTTTTTGAATATCACAACGATCTAACCAATCTGGATGAGGAGGAGATACCCCATTTCAGAGGTTGTGTATCTATGACATATCACGGCGAAAACCAGATTGAAATTTTGGATGCTCCGGCAAAAGCAAAGCCACTTTCCCATGATATGGTTAATTCCAGACCCGAAGCGGAAGACGCGATACAACTCTACCATGATGCAAAAAACTACGAAATACCTTGTGTTCTAAATCTTTTAGAACATCCGAGAGAGATCGAATTTCTTTTTCATCACATCGCCACAAATGCACCCAGATCTTCAATTTGAACAAAAAGGAAACATAAGTTTGTAGTTTTTTACTTACAAATTATGATGTCTTTTTTCAACCAAAAGACATAAAATACTACATTCATTTGAAAAGCAATCTACATAGTTATCACACTAATATATCCTTTACAAAATATATCTAATACACCTAAACCATTACTGCTTTCACTTAAATTATGTATAAAAGCCTGTAATCTTATGGGTCAACTGAACTAAGTATTAAATATCGCTTTATAATTTTTCACTTTTCTGCGAGCTAAGTTGGCAGCATATAATTATAGCTAATATGATTAACCTTTATAAAGTAGACGGTTAATATAACATCGGGGCACTCAGATTCGAACTGAGAACCTTCTTGACCCAAACAAGACACTTAACCACCCAGCACTACCCCGTTTTTTTTTTTTCTTTTTTGTTTTTAAAATAATCATAAAAACCTCCATAGTTTACAGATACATATAAAAATAACAAAATCTACATATATAATATGTATGGTACCGTTTTGGGTACTTTTGCTTTTACCCTTACAAAGGTAAAAACGCGCTGTGAAACAACTTACGTTTTTACACTATGGACTTTTGCACTAGTGTTTTTATCTAAAATCTATTAAAATCCTGTAAAACTTTGTTTATTTCCACTAAACAATCCTGTAGCTTATTTTGTGCACCTATTAGCTCTTGAATGCGGGGATGATCAACACCTACATGCTGAATAATACGGCTAAGTAAACGAGTTCAATCATTAATTTCGTTATTTCTTAAACTTGTAATATTTTCTATTAGGTAGTCAACGTTGACTACCGCCACACCACCAGATGCAAGATTTAATAATATATGTATTTCAGTCGCTAATTGATCTACTCTAAATATTGCATCGCCCACCGTAAGTTGCATGACTAAACCGCTCACTAGCTCAGGTGCCGCCATTACTCCTTCAATCGCGGCAAGTGTCAGGCCATAAGCTGAAATAGATAAAAGCATCAGTACCACAGAAGTGGGCGCATTTAGCATACCGTCAGTTGTATGTAAGAATAGAGAACTTCCGGGTGTAGATAAAGTTGTAGTTGTATTAGTAGAGATGGCATAAAACATATATTTTGTTTTTTTTTTGCATATTACTTATTTTTTTAAAAAAGGTTGATTTATAGTATGGTTTCTACTTTGCACTAGTGTTTTTATCTATAATCTATTACCTATATTATGTATTTTTCTGTTAGGCTTATTTTTCTTTTTAATTATTTATAGTATTAGCTGTAATATAGCCAGTGGAATAGCCGAGTTAATTTTTACACATAACTTTACCTGTATCAATCCTTTACTAGCTGAAAACAGAAAATTAACTAGATAATAAATACACAGATAAAGAAAGCAAAATAATATCCTTTACATCATTTTTTAATTATTAAAAATAACTTTAAGAACCTCAGTAGTATACAGAAATATATAAAAATAACCAAACGACATCCACAAAATGTCAATAAAGTATTGCGGATTCAAAACCAAGATGATGATTTTCTGTTAAGTGATAAGCTAATAAACGTCAAAAACCTACGGCTAAGAAAGCGGTACCTATCATTACATGTAGACCGTGGAAACCTGTTCCGAAATAAAAACAAGATGAATATGTACCATCTGAAATCGTAAAAGAAGAAACGGTATATTCAATAAATTGAAACCCAGTAAAGATTATAGCTAAGATAATAGTGTATATTAACCCGTTAAGTGCTCCTCTTCTATTTCCTTGTATAAGTGAATGGTGACTGTATGTAACCGTTACACCGGAAGATAATAAAATTACTGTGTTTAATAATGGCAATTCAAAAGGGTTAATAGATTCTATACCCAAAGGTGGTCATTTTGCACCTAGTTCTACCGTAGGTGACAACGCACTATGAAAAAATGATCAAAAGATCGCTAAAAAAAATAATGCTTCAGACACAATAAATAAACCTACTCCCATATTTAAACCTCTTTGCACTGCAAGTGTGTGATTACCTAAATAAGTCGCTTCGTTTGTTACATCTCTAAATCACAAACTCATTGAATATATTACAGATATCAAAGCGATATTTAACACATATAATCCACTAGTAAAACTGTGAAAACTTAATACTGCACTTAACGTTAAAGTAAATAATGATAGGCTTGTATATAAAGGTCACGGACTGGGTGATACCAAATGAAAAGGATGAGCTTGAAAATTACTTCGGGTCAAATTACTCAAGTTTTTTTTTTGTATATTATAAATTTTTTTTAAAAAAGGTTAAATTATAGTATGGTTTCTACTCTGCACTAGTGTTTTTACCTATAATCTATTATATATATTATGTATTTTTCTGTTCACTATATTTAAACATACATATAAGGTATCACGAGTACCAGCTAGCCATGGATATAGTACATGATAAATACTTACCAGATTAATAATACGCTTAATTATATTTATTCCAAACATAATTTTGTGTTAGGTTTATAAGTGTATCTAATACATACGATACGTTTTTTGGCCACGCACCAGTAAATACATAGTAATCGATTTTTATCGTTAATTCTCCTAGTCTGTATATCGCCTCTCCTTACGTAAACACAGCTTAAGTTCTCCCACTAGCTTCGTGGCCATACCACTGCTTATAAAATAGCATAACAAAGGCTTAATGAAAAAATAAAAACACTAATATTATACTTAGAGGCTTTTTAAAAAGCCCGTTTTTGCTAAAGATTAATAGACCGTTTTCCATACTAGTAGAGGTTTAGTTATTAAAAAAAGGATTTTTCAGATTTTGTATCTGATGTGTTAACCCTTGCAACACTCCGCATTTTTGTAATTTAAATAATTATTTAAATTACAAAAATGCAATTAAAAGTTCGTTTTACAAAATACAAAGGCTTACAAAGTAAAACAAAAATACATCACACTAAATATTACCTTTATTGTTTTTGTTTAATGGTAATTATAATGGATCCAACCATAGCCAATAACAGAATAACAGAGGTTATAATTAATCAAATAAAATGACTTGTGTACATAATATTACCTATACTAGTAATATCGGATACTTCTACCAAATTACCTTCTCAATTATTGGAAGAAACATGTAAATTTTGTTTTTCATTTATTAAAAATTGAATAGAAAACCCTAAATCTCTTTTATTATCATAACTAGGTACTATATCACTAATTGGTATAAAAAAAGCTAAGGTTACAAAAATCGCCAAAGGTATATTATTATTAGTGTCACCTATAAGTTCTGAAACCCTTATATTAATTAACATTAAAATAAATAAAAATAAAATAGATACCGCACCTACATAAACCAATAAATAGGATAATCCTATAAATACAAGACCTATAAATATTAAATAACAAGATATACTTGAAAATAATAAAATAAGATATAAAACCGAAACAATTGGGTTTTTAGTTATTACAATTAATATACCAGATAATATCGATATACAAGTTATTATATATAAAAAGTTTATATGAAAACCATAAAAGCTATTGAAAATTTCTAAAAGCATTGAATATTTACTTAAATACTCCTATCCTTGTTATAGACTAAATAAGAATAAAAAAACCAAGAAAAACTTTTTCTTTAAACTATATCTAGTTTAGGTTAATAAATTGAATATTAAGCTATGTATAGTGGTAAGAAAGCCATCATTTAGGCAAATAAAGCGGTGGGTTCAGAAAAACCTTGATATAGCATAAGAGAATAATTGTCCAGTTAAAAAAGGATTTCTAGATACACTTAATATTACTGCAGCAAACACTACACCTAAGCCAACAAAGCGGTATACGGCTATTAATCCGAGTCATCCGCCGGTGCGGGTAGAGTTTCTTCCATTACAAAATCTACATAGTCAGATGTAGGTGTCATACCATCTGTTTCTCGTATTGCTTCATTCAAAGCACCCTGCTCTACAACAGGTCTTTCCAATCTTGAACGCAAACTACGTAAATATTGTACTTGATTATAGGCCAAATTTTTAATGTCTTGTAAACCCGCCTCGTCCCACTCTTTTTGATCATTAAATAACTCTCTCATTTTTTCAAGCTTTTGAGCCGCAGTTAATTTTTTAAAGCCCCTGTGATCAAAGTCCGCTTCCTCGAAAACATCAGAATATTTGGTTTGCAGCTCTTCAAGAGCACCACCCGCACTGCTACCTACTGATTTACCCGCATCTAACCTAGCCATACCCCTTAGCGCTTTATCCGCTTTGTAATATCCATCTATATAATCCTGTTCACGTAATTTTAGTCACAACTTTCTTTTTATTAGTTCATCTTCCACGGATGCAGACGGATCGGGTGTAAAAGATTTAAGTTTAAATAGATTTTTTAAGAAAGCTGACATACGTTATATTTTTTTTATCTGCATTACGAAAGAAACCTTCATATATAATAGTGGACATTGTTAATTAACGTATATCTTATATCTAACTACTTTTACCGTAAAACCCCCATGAGAATTCTTATTCAGGAATCGAACCCAAATCGGAATATTAGAAGTATTCTGCTTTACCATTAAGCTAATAAGAATTAGGAAGAAAAGGATTCGAACCTTCGACAGCAGTATGCTATTGAGTTTACAGCTCAACCCGTAAACCAACAAACGGACCCTTCCTTATATATTTTATATGTAAAAATTTTGCACTAGTTTACACTTGCAAACCTCGGTTAGCCCTGGCCAGCTACTTTTTACAAATAAGCCTTAGCTTTTAAGCTGTTTTTTATTTGCGCATTGCTTAGGTTAAAGGTAAATAAATTATCGCCCCAATATAAACCCAAAAAAGCCCACTTTTTAGTTTTTTGTAAACGTCTAATGATCCGCTTGTTGTAGACCACAAGTTAATTTATTTGAAACTTATTATATTTAATAAATAGTGCATTTTTTAACGAAAGGTATATTGTTTCTATAAAGAAATGAATAACACTGCAACACATAAGCCCTTTGTTCTACCATTTAATCACCACTTATTTAACCAATTATCTTATAACCTTAGCTGACCTTAACTTACATTATCAAAAAAAATATTGTAAGCTAAGGGCCACAGAGAATATCCGATTCGAACGGATGTGATTCTATAAACCAAATAAGTTTCAAGCTTACCACCTTAAACCACTCGGTCAATTCTCTAGAAGGATACTTTATCCTTTTTTTGTGATTCTTCCAAGATTTGAACTTGAATAACATCCTTATCAAGAACGCACTTTACCTTTTAAGTTAAAGAACCTTAACAAGAGCACTCAGATTTGAACTGAGAACTGGAAGTTTGAAGCTTCTAATTTTGCCAATTAAACTATACTCTTTTTTTTATAAAAAAAGTAAAAAACCCTATATAAGAACATAGTTCCCACTAAGCTTTGCTAGAAAAAAAAACAGACTGTATCA